TGATGATGCCTCTAGATGATTTAGTTATGCGTTCATTGATTTATATATAGAAAAACTATAATATGAAATGTGGTGTTGTCAAATCTCCTTAACATAAGCGTGAAAGTAGGAACACAGGCTATATCTATCTTTTCGCTATCCCTAAACCTCAAAGAAGCTCTACATCACTCTCCATTAAGCTTGTCGCGGTCATTTGTTCGATTCTAAGAAAAAAAATGTTGATATAAACCAACTTAAAAATTAGGATATATATATTTACAAGAGATGATTGTAATTAAATTCGAAATAAAATCGTTTGAACCAATATAGTAACTTAATTTAGACTGAATCTTAAATAATTATTTTATGTGGGTTTTTTTCTTCTTTTAAAAAGGATGATTTTCCTACTTTATTTTAGACCCATTCGTATGTTATGTTGTTTTGTGACTTATTCGAATATATTTTGAGGTGGGAGAAGTGACTATTTGGGATTTGACCATGAAGCAAAATATTTGTGATTATAAGTTTTCAAACAAAAAAAAAAATTGAGGTGGTGATGTTTAGTTTGCTTAGAGTGTGTTTATTATCTTTTTGTAGTCCAAACAAAAAAAGTTGAAAATTCGTTTTCTAAAAAAATATAGAAGGAATATGAGAAGGGAGAAGAAGTCAATATTGAGTATTCCCATGAAAATAAGTGGAGACAAAACACATCATAATATTCAGACACATTTCCATGGAAGGTAATTGTGCAAATGAAAGGTAATCTAAAAGAGCATTGACTCTATTTGCTATATATAGAAAATGATTCATTATCAACCCATGAACCAAAAAAAAAAAAAAGATGACAACCCATTACAAAGTAAAATTTGTACTTTGAGAAATGATGATAATGAGTGACTGAGATATGTAACCAACAACATTGGGAATAGATAGATAATAGAACACATAATGAAAGCACTCGGGGGAAAAGCAAAATCAATGGCCACTTTTGTAAGGAAGAACAAATAAAAGGATTGAAAGACTAACCAAAGATTGAAATTTTAAAATTGAGTCTCACTAAACTAATAAACAGCTTACAAAAATATTTATAGAAGAACCAAATTCAAATTGGTGATATGATATAAATGTTGTTGTCTTCTTCATGGGTTATGAGAAAGAAGAGTTGAAAGCAACCTTAGAAGAAGCCAGCGAGTCCATCCATTATAGTCATGTGGTCCTCCTGATAATGGCAGGCCTAGAAAGAGAGAGAGAGAGAGAAGGAGAATGAAGAGAGAGCATGGGATTGGGATGTGCTGGATAATTAGGTGGGAGAAGGCGGCATGTATAAATGGAAAGAGTGGATAACAATGGATGACCAAAACAGGAGGTCTTCTTATTTACAAGGACAGTGTTTCATCTTTGCACGTAACGCTTAAGTTTGTGCTTTACCTGCGTACACATACATGCATACATATACGTACATAGATGTACAAAGAATTCGTGGTGAGTAGTGTACGTAGCTAATTTAATTAAGGTGTTAAGTATAGTTAAGACTTTGATCCTTGTCTGCTAGATGAACTTTAGATATTTGTATTCGTTTTATATACTATCTGATTTTTTTTTTAAAGATACAAAATAAACTAAAAACACAACTTTATACTGATTAGACTGACACAATATTTGAATATTATGTGTTCGAGATTGATTGGTTAAAAGCCTGCTATGGTTTTTTGTTTTTTTTTTATTGAGCATGCAAGATCAACATAATTAATTATATACTCCATATACTAACTACCAAACTAATCAACACTTAACAACCGTTAACCGTATTAACTTCTGATAGTACTTTAAAGATGTTTAGTTTTCAGTGTGTAGAAGTGATATTTATTTTCTTTTTCATTTTTCTTTTACGTGGAAAAATGCAGAGGGAAAAATAATGAAATGATGCAAAAGCTTACAAGATAAGCACGAGAAAGAAAAGAAGTTCTCTTTTTAGCGAAAGCGACTCCTAAACGTATGAGATAGTGTGTGTGAGAGAGTCAAAAGAATATAAAAGATTGGTCGGTCATGGCATACTGAACAGAGAGACTCAGAAGAGCTAAAGCTTTTTTTTTTTTCCTCTCTTCTTCTTTCTTTCTTAGGGCTTCAAACTGCCACGTGCAATCTTCCTATTTGAAAACTAAAACTTTAATATAACTCTTTAGGTAACCTTCTAACAATTTGCATTCGTGTACTTGATTTTTTAAAAGTTTGTATCCCATATTTTTTTAAAAAAAAATCATGCAAAAAAATGCATAAACCTATTTGTTTGTATGTTTTGATTGATTAGTTGCTGAACACTTTTTTTTTATTTATTGATAAAAGTTGGGCTTCTTTGTCAAAGAATAATTATCCAAAAGTAAATTATATATTAGAAACAAAGAAAGAGATTAAATAGTTGAAGTTAGCATCTAGATTAATAAGTGATCTGTTCTGATGATTCAAAGGAAGAGATATATATTAATGGATTCTTAAACGTTTTTTCTTTTTGTTGCCAATGCTATTAGCCTATTACACTATTACTTACTTCCAATGCCACATCAAAAAACAACCAAAAAAAAAACAAAAAATGAAAAGAGAGGTTATAAATATTCTAAAGCTTTCGTCAGTTTTGCTATTTGAACTCAATTGGAATCCAATAAGTCTTCGAGAAAAAAGGAGCTGCCCTTTTTCAAAAACTACCTGGTCTATATATATTGGCAATTTAATTACGAAACTTTATATAAGAGTAATGTTTGCATAACAATTTAGAACTATCATACCTATCTCTAAACTTTGAAAAACATCCATAATAGTAATAAATTGTTTTAGTAGTCTTAAAATTTTATTTGAAATCCTCTACATAACATATATTCCATATATATATATATATAATATAAAATGTGAATTAGAATATATATATATATATATATTCTAGTTCACATTTTATATTTTAAAATACAATTTATCTGTTTCATATATAATATTTGACAACAATATATAAATGTATTTAAACTTAAAATTTAGTATGGAAAGTGAGAAAATGGTATAACAAAAAGAACTATTGAGTCATATGAAACATTTTTGTACTTCATAGTGTTTTTAGAAATACAACCAGAAAAGTCTTAATTGGAATTTATTTAACCTTCATTTTAAATATATTGGAATGCAAATCAAGATTTTTAAAAAGTTTAATTATAATATAAAATTTCTTTAATTTTTTTATAAGGAAATTTTCCATTTAGATACTTTTATATGCAAACAAACACTTATATGTCTACATAATATATTTTTCCTTATATATTAATCTCATTACCTTCTGTTTCTTTCATTTTATCACATCTTGATCCTTATCTATTAAAAAATATTAAATGTATTATTAAGGTGATAAAAATAAGATATCTAACTAAATTTTACATGTCATTTCAATATTTTAAAAATATATATTGTTGTTTCAATTGAAAGGTTAATAATTGGTAAATATATGTTTTTTCAACCAACTCTAAAACTAATTATCCTACATAGTTAATTATTGTGATAGCTAAAACCTAAATTTATAACATACATATACTCTATGATAAAGAAACTACAGTAAAATATTTATATTGAACTACTATTGTTAGGCATCTTTTAATTCATGCAATTAACTCTAAAGATATATATAATCTTTTGATTTAGTTGATAGCTGTCAGCAATTAATATCTATCAAATACTTATAATCAGCTCTTATCTAAATTTTAGTAATGAAATATCTCAAAAAAGTATAAATAAACAAACATAAGTCCTAATGATAGAAAAAAATTCTAGATATATAAACAAATAAAATGAATATATAAGCTAACATATATATAAAGAAAATAAACGCCTATATGTTGTCCCTTCCCCCATAATGATCTCTCTCTGCCTCTCTCTCCATACCTCTGTCTCTCTCTCTCTCTCTCTCTCTCTCTCTCTCTCTCTCTCTCTCTCTCTCTCTCTCTCTCTCTCTCGATCGATTGGAGTCACTCACTGATGAGAGTCAGATCCAATCCAATCGTAACTGAACAGTGAACACAGAACACACGCTCTTCCGACCCCACTCCTCATCTTTTTCTGTTCCTAATTCCTTTCTTTGTACGTCCGTCCATCTCCCTTTTGGTTCATACTACATTTTACTAATTTTTCTTGTAAATATATAATTAGTTTAATTTGGTTTGGTTTTCCTCAAAAGTTTTTTTTTTTTTATTGGACAAACTTTTCCGCAAAGTTTATACTTAAAAGAATATTCTACAAAAATAAAACTTGTCCTCCATTTTCTTTAGGATTTGGGATAATGATTGCATATCTTTTGATATTAAAAAAAAAACAAAAAAAACAAAATTTTAGAAAGAAAGAATGGATAGAGCATGTAAGACAAAAAGAAAAAAAAAAGCTTTAGTGTTTGTATGTAGTGTACTTTGAGGACCCAACCCCAACAACAAAACACAAAGAGACTTCTTCGTCTTGTCACTCAAAAACCTTTGAACTCTTTCCTTTCTCTTCAGAGAGAGAGAGA